CAGACCCGGGTCTCCACGGATGACCCATGTTAGGATATGGACGTGCCTTTGACGTGACGCACCAACACTTTTACCATTAGGCTTCCCCATGTGAACGATACTGTTACGTGAGACAGTGTTTCGTCATTGCTCTCGGCACTTACATCGGCTCTGCACTTACGTTACATCGACTCTTCCCTCTATCCCATAGGAACATTCATTTAAGCTACATTGTTTCAGATGAAAGTGCATTTGGGTTTAACGACGCCGTTCTCTGTGCAGAGTTGCGTCCCTTGTTACAGGCAGAAGCTAAGATAGTGTGTTCGAATCCAGTGTTTTTACAGTTTTGTCGGCACCTTATCCATGTTTGTGGATTTCAACCTGGCTGTGTTTAAGCCGTTAGTGGATAAGGGTGAGTGGGTGAGTTTAGTTTTACGTCGCTTTGAACAATATTCCACCAATATCACGGCAGGGGACACCAGGAATGGGCTTCACACATTGCACCCATGTGGGGAATCGAACCCGGGTCTTCGGCGTGACGATCGGACGCTTTAACCACTTGGCTATCCCAACGACCTTTAGCGGATAAGAGAAGCTCTTAGAACAATAGCTATTGTTCCTCGTGTCTTGGTGCACTTCAGTTGCAGGTAATGTAAGCCTGGAGCATTGATTGTTTAAAACTGTGAAGCATGTGATTTCACAACTAAACATTTTCCCTACGTCCCACGAATGATTCGATTCAGGATTGATCAGAATCATGTTTGTTCGGGTTTGACACAACATATTACGACGTTGATACTTACAATCCGTGTTGCGAGCATATTTGCGTTCTACTGGGTTCTCTCAGCATTGTTACAAATCGGCACTTCCTTCATTTTTTCCCCACCTTGTCTGAACAAGAACCTGCACGGCTATACGACTTATCCAGGACCAACGATACAATGACCTCAATCGCTTGGCTTCCAACCTCCCACATCCCAGCCCCAAATACGTTTAGTCAAAAGGCTTAAGTGATCATGGATATCGTTATAACAAGCCAAAGGACATGGTCAGGGTAAATCTGGAATTCAAAAATTCAAATACAAATGAATCACGGTGCTTAGATTAATGGGACACTTTGGACCCCAAAGTACACGTCGACGACTGATTCATCATCACCATCATCATTTCCATCACCACCAACATCATCATCATCACCGTCGTCGTTTCATGAAGCCACATCTGACCTAATACATTGTGCGTCATTACGTTAACCATGACCTGCTGTGCTGGATTGCCATTATAACACAAAATGAAATTTGAATTTGCAGACAAATCAGAGCAGTGCATTGAACGAGATAACCCTGTCATTATCATCATAAATCTCTTAATCAACCTTTCGCAATAGCAATGTGTAGGTAAAACGCAACAAAACAAGCACATGTATTTGGATAGAAACACAACATGAAATTTGAATTTACAGACAAATCAGAGCAGTGCATTGAATGAGATAACCCTGTCATTATCATCATAAATCTGTTTCGCAATAGAAATGTGTAGGTGAAGCGCAACAAACCAAGCACATGTATTTGGACCGAAATAGAAAATGAAATTTGAATTTGCTGATAAACCAGAGAAGTGCATTGAACTATATAGATAACCCTGTCATTATCATCATAAATCTCGTAATCAACATTTCGCAAAAGCAATGTATAGGTGAAGCGCAACAAAACTAGCACATGTATTTGGATAGAAATAGAACGTCCTTTTGTGTACATGTAATGCAATTCTGCAACCTAGTTACGAGTTGGCGAAGCAAACTTCTTTCTGGAATCTGACACCTGTCAGCAGTGTGTTTTCACTTTTGTCATAAATAGGTATCGCAGTTGAAATGCTTTTTATTAGATTCTAAATGACAACTGAGTGTTATGGTACATTTCTGTATTCAAATATTATTCACTGACTTTTCTATTATCCGGATTTCGTTATGGCATAACTGAAGGTCAGACAGAACGGCAACATAAAACTGGGGTTGTGGGGTAGCCTTGTGGTTAAAGCGTTCGCTCGTCATGCCGAAGACCCGAGTTCGATTCCCCACATGAGTACAATATGTGAAGCCCATTTCTGGTATCACCCGTCGTGATATTGCTGAAGGAGGCGTAAAACTAAACTCACTCACACTACATAAAACTTGGCGCCAATGCTCTGTAGGTATTACGGTTGTAATGTACAATAAAGAGACTTCTTCACGATTGACGAGTGAGTTTTACGCCGCACTCAACAATATTCCAGCTATATGGCGGCTGTCTGTAAATAATCGAGTCTGGACCAGACATTCCAGTGGTCAACAACATGAGCATCAATCTACGCAATTGGGATACGATGACATGTATCAACAAAGTCTGACCGCCTGATCCCGTTAGTCGCCTCTTACGGCAAGCATGGGTTACTGAAAACCAGTTCTAACCCGGATCCTCACGGGGACACTACTTCACAAGTTCTCGTTCAATGCCATTTTCAGAAAAACAACGCTGTGTGGATTAAGAAAGTTCGTGAAAATATAAGCGGCACTGTATTTCAACGATCACGTCGATTATGTTGAAAGCTCGCTCCATCGTCAGATACCGACTTCGTCATGAGCATGATATTTATGAATATCACTGTGACAACAAATATCTTATGTGACATTGATTGTCAGTTAGTACTCACACTCCATCTAATTTAAATGTCAGATGCTGACATTGTTTCGGTTAACAGGCTAAACTGAAACCGGCTGTAAATCGGCTGAAATAACACAGTGGGTGGGTGGGTGAGTGAGTGAGTGAGTGAGTGGTGGAGTGAGTGAGTGAGTGAGTGAGTGAGTGAGTGTGAGTGTGAGTGAGTGAGTGAGTGAGTGAGTGAGTGAGTGAGTGAGTGAGTGAGTTGGATACTACGCCAGTTGTATTACGGCGTGTGAGCTTGAGGAAGGATGACGCAGGGGTTAGGGGTAAAATCCATTATCACATGCGTGATACTGACAAACCTTGAATCATAATATGGGCAGCCTGGATTCGAACCCTTGACCAAAGATTTCTGTCGTCCCAAAGAAAGGCAGCTCAACAAAGCGAATTGCTTAGACGCTTTTAGACACATTTTGTAAAACAATGATATCGCCTGTGAGTAAATCAACGACCCGTGAAGATCCGGTTTAGAATTGGTCTTCAGTAACCCTTGGTTGTCGTAAAAGGCACCTAACGGCATCAGGTGGTCAGCCTCGCTAACTTGGTTGATACATGTCATCACATCCCAATAACGTAGACCGATGCTCATGCTGTTGATAAGATAAGATAAGATAATTTCTTTATTATCCCAAGGGAAATTTGTTTTGCATCATATGCAGTTCTCCAGTTTTTCTTTCATAAGACAGCATATATAACATTGCAAATGATAATCATAAAACTATTGTTTAAAATAATCAGGATATAAATACATTAATTTAGTACACAAACATTGTCACTGACTAGAATTTGGACAGTTGGAAGCCAAGTTATTCATTGAATTTGTTGTTAATTCATCTAACACTTGCTGGAACAAATGAGTGGCGAACCCTATTTGTTCTAAATGTCGGCATAGGATCACTTAACATTTTGTTTGCCATTTTTGAAATTTGCTGCTCATAACAACTTTCGATACTTTCGATAGGAAGCCCAATAATTTTAGACGCAGTATTTACGCAGTATTTTTTAGTTTGCTTTTATTCTGGACAAATTAAAGGTTATGACACTTTGAATAAAGGTTTTGTAAAATAACATCATGATAGTTTTGTCGATTCTAAAATGTTTCAAATTCCACAAAAAATTAAAGCGTTGTTGTCCTTTCTTATATATTTTCTCAGTGGTTTCGTTCCAGGAGAGTTTTGAATCTAAGACAGTACCCAAATATTTGTATTCAATTAATCTTTCTATTTCATTATCTTCAATACTTACAGCATTTATTGTTGACTTAGCTTTTCTAAAATCTATGATCATTTATTTGGATTTTTGCACATTCAAAAATAAAAAGTTTGATTTACACCATTCTACAAATTTGGAAATTTCAGCTCTGTAACTAAGTTCTGATTCCCTAACAAGGCCTACCGATGCATCATCATCAGCGATTTTAACTGTAAAACATGTTTCTGCGTTGGATACACAGTTATTGGTGTACAATATATACCAATTTGGTGAAATATCGCAACCCTTATGGAGCGCCAGTTGATGTGTTTACAATTGATGATTTCACATTATTAACCTGTACAAATTGTTGTTTGTTAACTAGAAATGAATTTATCCATTCGATGATGTTAGAATTAACATTCATTCTGAAAAGTTCATTGAAAAAGGCAGATGAAAAATCAACAAACATTATTCCCACATAAGTACCATATTTTCTAAATTCTTATAGATATTGTTTAACAGAGTGATTGTTGCATCATCTACCCCACACCTTGTTCTGTATGCAAATTGTAATGGGTCAAGAACATGGCTGACTTCATTCAACAATAAAGGTCTTAACAATGCGTTCTAAACATTTCATGGCAACAGAAGTTAGGGCCACTGGTCTGAAGTCATTATTAACAGAGGGATTTTTCTTTTTTGGCAATGGAACAATTTTAGAGGTTTTCCAAAGAATGGGAACATTATGAGAATTAATTCATATCTGAAATGATCACTGGATTGTCTGGTCCAGATTCGATTATTTAGACCGCCACCATAAGGCTGGAATATTGCTGAGTGCGGCGTAAAACCAAACTCACTCACTCACTCACACGAGTACATACACCGAACAGCAATACGAGATAGCCAAACATTCCAAGCTGAACACAAGGCTCTCAACTAATTCCCCAAAACGTCCATTTTAACACGTGTCAAACAGCAGGAAGGGATTAGCACATTCGGCAACAGTTTCCACAACATAATACTCCTTAATCAATTCCAATGGAATATAAATGGCCTCATCGCGATGCAGGTCGCGCGCGATACTACTTATTTATATACCCCATAAAAACTATTCGGTAACCGAAATTACATATCAAACGGTTGCCTTTATTGATATACAATTGTTAAAACTGGAATACATTTTCAAAGAAATAGAATTTTACTTGAAAAATTGAATCAACACAGCCGATCGTGTATTACTGGTAGCTGGAATGCGGATTCTTGAAGGATTAGTCATCTATCGTCGCTGCCTGCAATGGAAATATATTGTGGTAAATGCATGAACGTATATGTATAGTATATATAGAGGATATTATATGTGTGCCCATGCCGTACAATGTTTACGACACGAGTGCGTAAATGTTGGCGAAAGCGAGTGATATACCGATATTTTGGCACGAGTGCCGTAAACTCGCAAATATAATATTCTGTATGTTACCGAAGTCGTCAAATTGAGAAAAACAAGAAGACAAAATCATCAATATCCCCCGCAACGGCAAAATACTCTTTATGAATATGTCTACTAGTTATGATTATGTCAAATGTTTTGGAGTGTATACAGCAAAGTGGAAGGAGAGTATTGAAAGGTGTTTAAGATCTGCTCCAGAAAGGAGCACTACCACTAAATTCAGTTGAAGCATAACTTGTTGCCATGGAAATGCAACAAGATAACATCCTCATAGTCACATCCTAAGTCATGTTTCCAAGGCACATCTAGGGATCATGCTTGATATGTGTACCATGTTTGATGAAGCTAGCATGTATAATTTAGCAGATCTACTCCGGATAAGATCATGACATCCTCATAGCCACAGCCTAAGTCACGTCTCCAAGGCACATCTAGGGATCATGGTTGATGTGTGTACCAAGTTTGATGAAGCTAGCATGTATAGTTTGGAAGATCTGCTCCGGACAAGATCACATCCTCATAGTCACAGCCTAAGTCACGTTTCCATGGAAACAGCAAAAAATAAAATTCATAACTGGGTCCAAACCCCAAAAGGCACATCTAGGGATCATGGTTGACATGTGTACCAAGTTTGGTTAAGCTATCCCGAATAGTTTAGGAGATATGCCTCGGACAAAGTGTGACGGACGCACGGATTGACGGAACTCGTTTCTATATCCCCCGCAACAACGAAGTTGCGGGGGATAATAAATAGAGAATCTCACCCAAGTGTCTTCTGATATCAATTATATCAACACTCGTTGATAAAGTTACAAATATCCGAGGCTTGCCGAGGATATTTTTACTTTATCAACGAGTGTTGATATATTTGATATCAGAAGACACGAGGGTGAGATTCTATTTATCATCCAAAATCACTCTTCATTAATTTTCAATGAAAAAATGTACATCTCTGAACATGGTACTGCCATTAGACTTGCAGTGCAGCGATGTCATAGCATTGTGACGTCATCAAGTACATGACGTCATAGCATTGTCAGGGCATTGTACAAAATCTACTGTCAAAACGATATCTCCTAGGAGATATCGTTTGATCTCACACAAGCGATATCTCCTGTGGAACACAGTTTTGGATGATAAACCCAAATCTACTTTCAAACATAGGTTGGCTATCCGCCGTCGCCGAATGTAGAACGCAACGTCACAGAAGAAACGTGACGTCTTAACATTGTTCATGACGTCACGTCACCATGACAAAGTGATATTTTGCCCGAGGGCATCGTATGAAAAATATTAACCCCGATATTTTCGCCCTCGAAGTCAATAAAAGCGGGTCTGACACATATCACTAGTTCATAATTAAAATTGAGGGAACATCCTCACCGTTCCGACAAGATAGTCTGATCTTCGAGGTGTGGCACTTTTTAACAATTCAAATTATGGAAAAAGGCATCACAAATGTCTTGCTCCTGATTCCATCTGACATGTACATCAGATTGAACACATCTGGATTCATGTCATTCACTTGAGCAAAGGTCGCAATAAATACATAATTACCAGAAAAATTATATATTTTACATTAAAAAACCTTCTGATTACAAGATACACCTTTCCAAAATTGTACAGTACACTTCTTGTTAGCGTGTCGTGATCAGGGTGGAGTATCACATGGTGAAATATGTGTTAGCAATCAGGAAACACATACATTAACCGTTATCCTGTGTATTGCACGCACATTGCTTATTTCACATGTAGAGTCCGTGTAAAACACTTATCTCATGCATTCCGTGATCAATGTACAACATGTACCGATTAACTGCATGGAACGAATGCTTCTGTTTGTTTGAAGAGGACTGACTGAGTGAGTTTGGTTTTACGAGTGAATGAGTTTAGATTTACGCCGCACTCAGCAATATTCCAGCTATATGGCGGCGGTCCGTAAATAATCGAGTCTGGACTAGACAATCCAGTGATCAGCAGCATTAGCATCGATCTGCGCAATTGGGATACCATGACATGTGTCAACAAAGTCAGCGAGCCTGACCACCCGATCCCGTTAGTCGCCTCTTACGACAAGCATAGTCGCCTTGTGTGGCAAGCATGGGTTGCTGAAGACCTATTCTACCCCGGATCTTCATGGGTCTTGGTTTTACGCCGCTTTTAGCAATATTCCAACAACATCACGGCTGAGGACACCAGAAATGGGCTCCACACATTGTACCCATGTGGAGAATCGAACCCGGGTCTTCGGCTTGACGAGCCAACGCTTTAACCACTTGGCTACACCACCGCCCCTGTATGAAGAGGAGTTCATTGTACTATCGTTATTTTGGCGTAGATGACATGATTTCATTTGTTCACGACGTAGACAGATTAGGCATGTTATTAACTATATTCGTAGGGAGAGAGAGACGTTGTTTTATTGCCATCGTCTGTATTTCCCATAATATTCGCCCTTTATGTTTATGACTTCTAAATGTCATTCAAAGAATGCATATAACATTGGTTTAAGAATTTCCAGAGTTATTGGAACTTTTTCAAGCTCATCATTTATTACTTAACACTGTTTTATTGATAGCTAAGGGAACAAAAATGTAATCAAATCAAGTAAAATGATGTGTGATCACTCTTCTGGGGAATATAAACAAGTGGATAAGAGTGCAAAATGCACTGACAATGTCCAAACTGAAAACACGAATGGTCAATTGGGAAAATCTTTTTTTCATGGGGTGTTATTTCACTGTCCCAGACGTTTTATAAGTCGTTTTGTGAATTAGTCCAATTGGATCTGGTTTTAAATACAAAACTGTCTACTTCTAAAACTATATGAGTGAGGGAAATGAGTGAGTATGGTTTTACGCCGCTGTTAGCAATATTCCAGCAACATCACCAGAAAAGGGCTTCACACATTGTACCCGAGTGGGGAATCGAACCCGACCCTTCGGTGTGACGGGAGAACGCTTTAACCACCAGGCTACCCCACCGCCCCTCAAACTATATGAGGGAAATCCAAATAATCCGAGTGAAAAAGAATGTGTCCACATGGTGTTGAATGGCAATACCAGATTGGATGAATGTCTATCTTAAATCCAAACTATCAATAGGTACAATACACAAGATAAAAAGGGGATTGATCTTATAATATCAGGATCATAATAAACACATCTGTTCCAAGCCGACGATTATGTGGGAAAAGGTGGTGGTTAGTTCAGTTACTGAACGGCATTTAGGAAAGGGGTGCAGAGTCAACTGAACTACTGTTCATATTATGGTTGGTTGGTTGGTTTAACGCCGCAGTCTGAACCAGACAATCCAGTGATCAACATCATGAGCATCGATCTTTGCAATTGAGATACGACATGTGTCAACCAAGTCAGCGAGTCTGACCACCCCATCCCGTTACTCGCCTCTGACCACAACCACCAGTTGGACACCAATTCTAACCCAGATCGTCACGGGTGTGGATATTATGATTTAGCCCTAATTCACAAACAAGGAGACCCCTGAAGATCCGGGCTGGAATTGGTCTTCTAACGGGATTGGATGGTCACGCTCGCAGATTTGGTTGATGCTGTCATCGTATCCCAACTGTGTGGATCGATGCTCATGATGTCAGCCATTGGATTGTCTTGTCCAGATTTTTGTCATTTTGCTGGAAAACTGCTGAGGGCGGCTGTGTGCTTTCTGAATTACAAAATCTTGATCATATCATTCTTGCTGGTTAATTAGCATGGCGCAAAAAAAACCACCCAAAAATACAACATGACGATGTGGCAAGGTTATTTTCTGGTGCTGCCAGAGCATTTAAATGTTGTTTTTTCTCGAGTTGCTAGGTTATGGTGTGACAACAACACATTGCTACGACACTGAATTATTATATTTTTCATCATGATTGACATGCCTGTCATATATTCTTATCACTACTTGACAGAACTGAAATCTCCAATAAACTATTGTTAATTTAGTGTTGTGGTTGTCTAAGCGGCCTCTTTGTACTTGAAAATTGGGGTCATGAGGCAGAGCGCTTTGTAACCTGCTTTGCATATCCACAATGTTTCCTTCCATCAATGCATGTTCTTATGCAGTCCTTTGATTGCGGATTTGTTGTAAAAAACATCGGTTTCCTGATCGAATCAAACTTCAGATTAAATTGCCTATATTTTTAAAACATTCCTTTTATCTAACCGAATTATAATCGTGTGTATGTCAATCTCGAACTTCGAGATATAAATACAAAAATAATGATAAATATATATATATAGGAAGAGTTTACTGTATATGGTGGCGGTCTGTAAATAATCGAGTCTGGACCAGACAATCCTGTGTTCAACAGCATGAGCATCGATCTGCGCAATTGGGAACCGATGACATGTGTCAACCAAGCCAGCGAGCCTGACCACCCTATCCCGTTAGTCGCCTCTTACGACAAGCATGGGTTACTGAAGGTTCATTCTAACCCGGACCTTCACGGTTGATACTTAGGAAATTTCGCTCATATGTGTGTGAAAATGTGTGCCCAGGTTTAAGCTGGTTTTATTGTGCTAACTCACTGAGATACCATGCCGCAGTTAAGCATGAATACCCCACTCAAACACATTGTACTGACTCCAAGCCGACCAGTCCTTGTTGTACCCAAGTTGGACCAACAAGTACCATAAGCATATTTTGGTCTTTTGGTATGATGCGGTCGAGGCTCTCAGGGCGGACGCTCTAACCAATACACCACGGAGAGGGATGCTGGATGTCAGAGAATAATAAAAAAAGAAACTTTGTTAGTTACAACATTGGACCCTTTATCATGTTTATGAATAGTTTTAAAAGTTTACTTATAAGTTAATGAAG